GGTTGCAGGGCGTCGTACGACGAAAATCGGATGCAGTGTGAATCTAGCAATAGATATTGACGAATATCAAGCGTCAATTTTGATCACATGATCTATTTTGACGCTGAAAATGAGCGTCGAGCTTCAGCATGAAAAGGTACCTTAAACCTATAAACCAATTATATTCAAAAATTTTACAACTGTAGTTACAAAACTGTTTTTTCTTTTGAACGCAGCCAATGGTTACCGTGTTTATTTTGACACGTCACAGCGGCCCCGATTTCGCGAAATATGGACGCGCCTTTACCCTATGATTTGGCAACGGGTAGAAGCGAGTCATCACGGTTTCCTCTCATTTGTGTCCGTGATTCCGTTGCTATACTCATTGCGTGTACCGAAAGGAGAGATCGTGCATCGTGCAGATTCCTTTTTTTGCGCGGACAACACCGAAGGTTGGACGATGAGTGATCCAAAGAGGTGAGGAAATTCGTGACGGACTCGACCTGAGTCGATCGACGGCGACTACATGCCGATTGCTCGCGTTCGTCGGCAGAGCGACATGTGTGTCGCGGAGCGCGACAGCCAAGGCGGCACTCAATTTCACGATGTCATCATGTCGACAGAGCGACGCTTTGTTTTTCGCGAAGGCCCGCGCTCGTCGTGGCGGCCGATGACGTCGGGGATTACGCGTCTCCTCGTCCTCGCGGCATCCCGGCTCGCTCGGGGATGCTCCCGCGGACCGCGGATCGGGACTTAAAAATTTTTCGACACGTCGCCCGATCATGGCTGTGCGCGAGCCAAACATGACAAAAGGGAAGAAGACGCTCGATTCTCCGCGACGCTGAGTCAGCTGGCCGTTCATACGAATGCGAAAATTACGAGCGTGAACGCGAATGTTCTCGCTGCAATTTTGCGTTCGCTTTACGTGCCTGAAATTTAAAAATATGTTAATTTCGTGTACCTGTTACGTATCACCTTTTGAAATTATGTTGAGGAATTATGTTACAAGGATTTTAGTAGATAACAAATAAAATGCATTGTGGAATGTATATATATGTATATATTTATATATGTGATGTCATATTAATTAGTTTTATTGTTTTTCTTGCTTCAGAATGTAAGGACATGTTTATTTCATCATGAAGACTTTGTAGTAAATAAGAAAAATAATTTTAAAGATTTTTTTGTATAGGATATAGAGTAGCTTTCACAGTTGTTTCCTTCAAGAAAAAAATGTAAAAAAAATATCCTTCATTTTTTTAACTTATTTTTTAAATTTAAAAAATTGGTTTTTTAATAGTTTGTTATCTTATTTGTCTCAAAAATTTTATAGCTGTATATTCTCATTAATGATAAAATTTTTATTTCTAATTTTTATCATATGAATTTATTTATGTTCACAATATGAAGTATAAAACACCGGAGTGTCACATAAGATTTATTACATTTGACATACAATTTGATATACAATTTGATATACAATTAATGTTTTATATTTCAGTGGTGAAGATTTGGCGACGGCTATCCTTCGTAAGAAGGATAGGCCAAACAGATTGTTGGTCGATGAAGCAATTGCGGATGATAATTCCGTGGTTGCGCTTTCTCAAGCAAAAATGGACGAGTTACAATTGTTTCGTGGAGATACTGTATTGCTGAAAGGAAAAAGGCGTAAGGAAACAGTATGCATCGTACTTTCAGATGATACCTGTCCGGATGAGAAAATTCGTATGAACCGCGTTGTTAGAAATAACTTACGCGTACGTTTGAGCGACGTCGTTTCTGTACAAGCATGTCCAGAAGTCAAGTACGGAAAACGTATTCATGTGCTGCCAATGGATGATACTGTCGATGGTCTTGCTGGGTAAATTTAACGTTATATCTAAGATTTAAATATAATAAATGAAATATAGGTTTCCAAAGTAGGATTTTATTCTATTATTTTCTTCATAATATAATTCTCTTCAATTGTGACTTACAAAATTGAGAATTTATGTACATGGGAATCGAACCTGGAATCTACGAATTATGAGTCAGTCACTTTCATGCAGAACCAAACATCATCCCAATAAGATTGAAATATATATAATAATTTGTATGATTAATATCAGTAACTCTAAAATGAGACCCTAAGAAAAATACTGAAAATATCTAATTACAGTAAAATCATCAGTTGATATTGTCTTTTTTAAATTAATTTTGTACATTTTACTTTTAATTACATAATACTTTTATAATGGCATAAATATATAAATTATATATATTTCGATTTGTGTAGAAATCTATTTGAAGTCTATTTAAAACCATATTTCCTGGAAGCATATCGTCCTATTCACAAAGATGATAACTTTATTGTACGAGGTGGTATGCGAGCTGTAGAGTTCAAAGTTGTAGAAACTGATCCGGGACCATTTTGCATTGTGGCGCCTGATACAGTGATACATTGTGAAGGTGATCCGATAAAACGAGAGGTCAGAAAAATACGTTATATATTGTTGGTATCTTCAATACCGACGCAAATAACAAAGAGCATTTATTTACAGGAGGAAGAAGAAGCATTAAATGCTGTAGGTTACGACGATATCGGTGGCGTCCGCAAACAGTTGGCACAAATTAAGGAAATGGTAGAGTTACCTCTGCGACATCCATCTCTGTTTAAAGCTATTGGCGTTAAGCCACCACGTGGTATATTGTTATATGGACCACCGGGTACAGGAAAAACTCTCATTGCACGTGCTGTGGCAAACGAAACTGGAGCATTCTTCTTTCTCATAAACGGTATGCAATCTGAATACAATCGAAATGGTATTGAATTATAGGAATAAAAACGTGAATTAAGAACATAAGGCAATATAACATATTTAAAGACTTCTCTCTTTCTATGCAGGTCCTGAAATTATGAGCAAACTAGCTGGTGAATCTGAAAGCAACTTGCGGAAAGCGTTCGAGGAGGCCGAGAAAAATTCTCCGGCCATTATATTTATTGATGAACTTGATGCGATCGCGCCGAAACGTGAAAAGGTTCATCAAGTCAAATTTAATATCTTTTATAAATCGCATTTTGAAATAAAAATTATATTTTTTTTTTATTTATAGACGCATGGCGAAGTCGAAAGGCGTATTGTGTCGCAACTGTTGACACTAATGGACGGTATGAAGCAGAGCTCCCATGTGATTGTAATGGCGGCTACCAATCGACCGAACAGCATCGACGGGGCACTGCGTCGATTCGGACGTTTCGATAGAGAGATTGACATCGGTATACCGGATGCCACTGGCCGATTGGAAATTTTGAGAATCCACACGAAGAATATGAAACTCGCTGATGATGTCGATTTAGAAGAGGTGCCATTTATTTTTACATCACTTCTAATAGTTTTATACATTTTATAACTGTAAAATAATATTTTTAAAAATTCACTAGATTGCAGCGGAAACTCATGGACATGTTGGTGCCGATTTGGCGTCTTTATGTTCCGAAGCGGCTCTTCAACAAATTCGTGAAAAAATGGATCTTATAGACTTGGAAGACGACCATATAGACGCAGAAGTCTTGTCTTCGCTTGCGGTAACGATGGAGAACTTCAAGGTGGGCTATTACTTTGACCTTGTATTGAATTTATTTACATCATTTTCTAAATGAAAGTATCTTTTTGTTAAAGTATGCCATGACGAAAAGCAGTCCGAGTGCTCTACGTGAGACAATTGTGGAGGTGCCGACGGTTACTTGGGATGATATTGGAGGTTTACAAAATGTCAAAATGGAGTTGCAAGAATTGGTGCAGGTAAGAATAAATACAAGGGCTGCGTTCCGTTTCACGTATGATGCATCATGCACATCATGCGTGAAACGGAATGCACCCTATATGTTTAATATATATACATGAGTTTTAAATTATATATTTATTAACGCGCGTTTTTTTTCGCGCAGTATCCAGTGGAGCATCCTGATAAATTCTTGAAATTCGGTATGCAACCGTCAAGAGGCGTATTATTTTACGGCCCACCTGGTTGTGGTAAAACATTATTGGCCAAAGCGATTGCC